TTTTTCCAGAATTTTCGATGGAAAGAAATTTTCCTCGCGTTAACTAAAAATGGTTGCCGAAAGTACGAATATCTTCTTACCACGAATTTCTAGATTTTTTTCTGTGACAATAGTTTACTTTATTATTATTAATAGTATTTATCACGAATTCCTTAGTTCATAATGTGGATCCCCAAAATACACTTTTTTTTGTTGGGAACCCCTGAAAGCTTCTATGGATTTCTGGGAGTCTATGCGGACCCTGCTTGGGAAATGCTAATCTGTTCATGTAGAACTGTACATATATATCATTAATGTAATTTAATTTGTTTACATTGGAAATATTTAGCTCAAGGCTAAGTATGCGATGCTTCTTTTTTTAAGCTACCGATTGAAATTTTATACAATTAGATTTTAGTCAATTATTAAATAATTCTCTTAGAAACTCCTCTCTACCCCAGATTCTCTTAAAAACTCCACGACGGCAACCCTTTCTTTTGGGAAAATAGCCTCGTGAGCTTTGGCATTTTCAATCTTTCTTCACAGAAATGATAAGAATTAATGTTAATTTCATTAGATATTTCTTCTCTTTGTTTTATTTTCGAGTAAGAATTTCGGTTCAGATTTCATATTTACATACAACATGCCAGAAAAGTGTAAATTATTACCGTTTGAACACACAATAAAGCTCGAAGAAGTTGTTAAGGACTGTACTTCGCAATAACACTCCCCAAAAATACTCCCACAAATTTTACGCGTTTTGAATAGATTTCTGTTATAAGATGCAAAATTAGATGAGTGGTAAAACCGTTGAACACTGGGGTTTCGATCCGAGTTCAAGAACTGGCAAAGGGAGTTTTCTCGGTTTTGCCTAGTAAGTAACCTTAATATGAGTCACGTTTCCTTAGAAGTTCCACCATGAAGCTTTAAACAGAGAGCCTTCATGTGATTTTTCATAATCTAAATAACTTAAATTAACCTAATTCTTCTTTAGTACTTTTGTATCGAGAACTGATGCAGTAATATACATAATTAATATATGCAATAATACTTTTCAAATATATATGATTTGCTCATAAAAGAATTTTATTTCTTCTTTTTAAAAAAACGTAACCGATCTAATAAAATGATAATGTTATTTAATTTATATAAATATTATAATTTAATTGTCAAATGTCATTGTTGGAAGATATTGTCAATAGCAGCTCATAATAATCTGAGGTAACAGATTAAGTAATTCTGTATTTCATGTGCGTTCTCGCGGTTTATATTTGTACATAGATTAAAGGCCCATAATGCAAATTTTAAAAGAAATTTTAAGCTTTGCAGAACGAAAGGTTGTTTATATGGTGTAGATAGATGATTTAGTTACGGATTCTATAGTTGATAAGTTGTTAACAAACGAACGTAGCCTAATACTTCTTCATAAATAGTAACAGGGAGCGTGTTTTGGATTTTCATGTAGGAAATTTCCTAATAAAAAATCCTAAATTTAAAATAATCCGGGAAATTAGATCAGTATAATTTCACGTGCTTTCCAGTGTTGGCTTTTTTACACATTTACGTTATTAAATCGTGCAGCGCGTATAAGATAATGAAATATAGATAATGAAGTGTATTTGATGTCTGATGTGGCAGTCTTTATAAAATTATAAAAAAATTGTAAATTAGTATATATACAGAGTTTGTTTTACATAAAGAGTTACTCTGCGATTCTCAATTTAGTTCTGTTGGATTTCTGTAACTAGCGTTGACGTATATAGGTTTCAAGTAGAAACGGAGATTCAAGATTGAGTCTTAGATCAGTTATTAGGTTTAAAATTATTTAAGTTTGACTTCTGTTGTTCTATTTTCAGTGTTAAAGATTAGACACAATTCAACAGTTTATTAAAATGAGGGCAATGCTTTACTTTCAGAAGTTGTTCTCAGTCAGCAGATAATATAATATGCATTTAATTTCCCAAGTGACTGTAATTTTCTGACCTTTTTTTTCTGTAATTTAATTAGTCCTCCATAATGCTAAAAACGATTATCCAACTCTTCTAGATTTCAGGTACAGAACTGAGAAGCTATACTTGTAAGTTTAGCTTACGATGTTATCACTATTATTATGTTCATATCTGATATCGGTTCTTGAATGGTTTATTTTTTTAACGCAAACTCAAATTAGAAAGTCATCAACACATCCTTTATTTAAAAACAAAATCATATAGTTTGGAATATGGATTAGGTTACTTTCACATAACGAAATATCTGGAATACTGGATTTGCACCGGGAAATGGGGGCGAGATCTAAATTCCCCCCCAGTATGAGAGACACATATTTCCTGTTTTAAAATAGAGCCCACCAGCGGCCGAGCGGTAACGTCGCTGAACACTGGTAGTTCGGTCCGAGGTTCGAGTCCCGCGAACGGGCTGGCTGCATGGGTGTTTTCGTGGTTTTCCCCATGTGTAACGTGTATACGAGCCAGTTTCCCTTAGAAAGTCCTCCACGAAGGCATCCCTCCCTTAAGGCAGATAGCCCTCGAGTGCTTTGCCGTAATCTAATAAACCAAACCAAACCTGTTTTAAAATATAGATACGGTAGTAAATTCAAATAGCTAAATTCATTTATAGTCCCCAGACCAGAGTTGGCCACAATTCAATTACAATGTAAGTGTAATTGCACGATTTGCAATTACAACTGCATTACAGTTACAACAATAAAATTACCGTCGCAGTTATACTGTAGATGTACATTAACCAAAATTCCAATTTAATTACAAAAAGATTTAGCTCTCGCAGTTTATTACACCTTGATGAAGGCGTATTATGTTTATTTATAATATAAAATACTATCCTCATGGAAACAATATCTGCAGACATGATCACGCCTCTAAAATTCGTGTACGAAATGAACTTAAATAATCCAGAAACAGCTTTCAGAAAGTGCTATCAGTGTGCAAAATCGCGCTCAATAGCATTACGTAAAATTTTAGTACACATAGTAACTAACCAGGGTGATAATAGATCAGATTCATGTTTCTACTATCTAAGGAAGAAAAATGGAATTCAAACGAGAAGACTAACTGAAGTTTTTGTGATTTATTTTCTGTGTAGCATAAAAAAAAGACGAGTCCCCTTAACAAATCTTCCATAAAGGCATCTCATTCGCTAGGCGTACAGTCTTTGTTTTCCTTTAATCTAATCCACATATTTGTCGGCGAACATCAGAACATCATTAATACTCATGTTTGTGTAACAAATTTACACGTATTTAGTTCTATATGAAAGAACTAAAATTAGTTGCCTGTAAATACATACCGCTTTGAATATATTTCTTTTACAAATTAACTGAAAATATGTGTAGTATTTAACAAAGAATTAAACAAAAATTTATTTTACAATCACAAGCTGCAGTACCTGCAAAAATTAAGGATAATTCTAAGTGGAACATACTAATAATTTTACTACATGCGGTTATCGCTTTGGTATTATTTAAAAACTCTGTATTCAAAATGACAAACCATTTCGGATATACTATCATTTACTGCGATTTTCAATTTCCATCACGATTCCAATAGGTTATGTAACAGAAATTATCAGGGACAGTAATTTTCCTACTTACGTAGTTGTAATTACCTACTGTAATTGCAATCACAATTACATTATAATTAGATTTTAGTATTACAATGTAATTATAATTGCATTGTAATTGCAATTACATTGTTAATGTTACTGAAAAAGTAATTACATTGTAATTGCATAATCTAATTACAATTAAAATCTTATTCCTGTTACATGCTCCAATTGCAATACAATTAAATTTTGCCCAGCTCTGCCCCACACATTTCACCTACTAGCAATAAAGAATAAATGAGATAAATAATAAGCAGCTTCGGCGCCAGAGCATGTGCAACAGATGCAGCCGCATCGGAAGCAAAATTTGTAAAATTATGCCAAATTTGTATATTATGTAGTTACTGTGCGGCATATTCTAGAATCGAAGTAATTTCACTGGGGGGAGGGGGCGAAACGTTTAGCGATGGCACTGTAATAAGACAGATTCTTAAAATAAGAGGGATAATTTTATGAAAAATTTCGAACATATGAATAGTATAATTCGAAAAAATTACATCTAACCTTTTTATATCATTCTTGTGGAATGGTAAGTCCAGTTAGTAAAATTGTCATCATGTTTTATTTAATTTAAAGTAAAATACCCCACAGATTACAAGCTAAATTCATGGGTGTATTCAAGATCAAGTTGATAACATCACAGCAAGAGCGGTTAAAACTGCTGAATACTTGTAGTTCGAACCGGCTGGAACAACCGAAAGGGCTGGCTTCATACTTGATTTTCCCCTTGCGTAACTTAGTTCGAGCCTGTTTCACTTAGAATATCTTCCATGGAGGCATTTCTTCCCTTAGGCAGGAACTCGCTTGTGCAGTGCCTTAGTTAAATAACTTAACCTAACCTAACTAGATCAAGTTTGCTGAGTGCTTGTAACCTAACTAGATCAAGTTTGCTGAGTGTTTGTAACCTAACTAGATCAAGTTTGCTTGCCTGTTGCGTATGCAAAGCAAGGTATTTGAGTGAACTTAAGGCACGTTGATTAGTAATTAATCCTCCTTGAGTAAAAGGGCATCCATTATAAAATCAGTATTTGAAAGTATTTTTTAATCGCATCTTTGAGAATTTTGCACGTAAAGGTAAAAATGTTTTGTATTTAAGGAATTAAAGCTTAATGAATATTACGAAATTAAAATGGAACGTTTTTACAGCACATAGCACGCCAAGTGCGAGGTACCATAGAAAATTCGATTCCTTTTTGGAGATCTCCGACACTCATTATTGAAATTACGTATTCTGAAAGTGTTACTAGAAGTAAATGTATGGAGTTAACATGTAAGAAAATAAACAATTTTATTGGCTACTGTGTGCGGTAGCCTTCAGTAGCTTTGAAGATATATCTTTTGCATATCTTAACTAAAACTGCAAGAGATTTTCTGACTATTAACTTAAATATTGTCCTTTTCAGCAAGCAATACATTGGTTTCATGAGAAAATCAGGTTGCAAGCCACTCTGAAGCAGTTTAAATCACAAGTAAGTATGCTACGAACCGTTAAATAATGGTTATTTTTTTAAACTTCGTTCTTTTAGCCAGATATATTTTTTTAATATCAGCCTTTTTAGAAATTCAATGTTCACCCACAGTTTGTTGTTTGATATTATGTTTCGACACTGCTTAACTTTCAAAGAACAGATTTCGTATGTGCTGAAACGTGAAAGTTTACTCGTTAAATTACAGTTCCCATTTGGTATCTACCATTTGGTAAGATTACTTTTAACAGTTTTCTTACATTCTCAAGCAGTTTTATCTGGATAATAAGTTCATTAAACATAAGAATGGTAACATTTGAAGAATAAGTTCATTAACATAAGAATGGTAACAACAGAGTTACATAATTTTACCCGTTACTTCATTCGGAGAGTGAAGCATAGAGGAAAAGATTAGCGTTGACATCTAATATGTTTAAGTATTAAAATACAAGGATATCGATAAATTATTCACAGCAGGAGATGAAACTATCCTACTACAAATTTAAAACATACACGCTAATTTTAAAATAATTTTGCTCCTGAAGAAGGAACTGTGATGACCTCGAATTCAATAAAGTTTTATTTAAAATCTACACCAAACTAAGGTTGCTTTATTGCCTAATATTAAGTATATGCACCACCAGTTGCCAGCAAATGGTTAACATTGTAATGGCTGGTAGTTCGATCCGAGTTCGAATCCACGTGAAAGGGCTGGTTGGTTGGTTTATGTAGTTTTTCCTACAAGAAAAATTGAAAGATGTCATTGAGTTCAACCAACGCAAAATAAGTTGGTTAGAACATTTTGGTTTTTTGTAGAGTCCTTTAGCTATCCCCGCTGTTATTCGCATCGCCCCTTTTCGGTATTTTCAGTAATCAAATATTTTTTTACAATGATGGTTTTTGATATTTTTCTGTTGTTTCGTAATAAGTAAAACTGAACCTTTACTTAGGCTATGCTCGATTAGTCCCCAGTTAATGAGGAACTGGATGCATTTCAGAGGAAAGAAAAAAGTCATTCCAAACTACAGTTCAGTAACAAAACATTTTTCAGTTCACTACCTTCTCCTACAAGGATAAGGTACGGTGATAGAAAACCATCATACATGCTCCCCTCCCACTGAGAGTCGGCCCACCAGCGCAAAGCGGTAAAGTCACTGAACACTGGTAGTTCAGTCCGAGGTCCGAATCCTGCGAACGGTTTGGCTGCATGGACGTTTTCGTGTTTTTACCCATGTGTAACGTGTATACAAGCCAGTTTCCCTTAGAAAGTCCTCCCCGAAGGTATTCGTTCCCTTAAGCTGATAGACCTCAAAGCTTTGCCATAATCACACAAACCAAACGAAACACACTGAGAGTCGTCCACGAGCAAGTGATTCTTTCTCCGACTCTGATAGAGTGATCTCACTACTTCTTACTAGAAAACCTTTTTATTAGACATTTATCTCGATATATTCCAACAGTAGTGTTCTGTCAATTAGAACAACGGAACCAAATGTCATTTGAGTTATATGAAATGCCACAGCGCTTGGAGGTAAGGCTTGCTTCATGAGACTTAGGAAAAGCCTCGAGGGCTATCTGCCTAAGGGAAGGGATGCCTTCATGGAGGACCTTCTAAGGGAAACTGGCTCGTATTCAGGCTACACATGGGGAAAACTACGAAAACGCCCATGCAGCCGGCCCATTCGTGGGATTCGAAACTCGAACCGAACTTCCAATGTTCAGCGACTTTACCGCTCAGACGCTGGTGGGCCCGCTTGGTGATAGGAATTTACGTACTTGATGACATTCATAAGACGAGTGAGGAACTGTGGACTCAATCACAGAGAAGGTAATCCGCGAGGTATAGAGTGAATTCTTCAACAGAGGTGAAACTGAGAAGTCTTATCTATAGTACACGTACAAATTTATTGATAATGTGCACTAAAAACTGTTTAATCAATGAATGCAATGGCATAACTCCTAGAACTCCTTTTGAAAAGATATTTTGTTCTATTTCCCTGTGAATAATGACAATAAGATTTATTATACTTTCATATGTAGTAATTACATGAATAATATTTGGTGTCAGCCAAGTGTGCGCCACCCTGTTTAGCATGGCAGTAGGGAAACTGGCTTCTATAGCGTAGGGTACAGGTTCCAATTCCATAGTAGAGCAAAGATGTTTGTAAATGTGTACTGTTTTTTGTGGCATGGTTGCACTTAAAGTAGCATCGAACAGAAAGCCTGTCTGAGAGGCTGGCGATAGAAAAAAGGGGTAGGATATTTTTGTATCTTTCCCTCGGGGTATCCTCCGTTGACAATGCGCCGGAGCTGGTCGAACTTGTATTGTCATTTATAAGATTTCCAAGACCTTCGCCAACAGCAGACGTGATCTAAGCTACGATAAATTCGTAAACCGGAACTAGACTATGTTTAGATCAGGAGGTTTAGTCATAACAACAGCAACGTGCGCATATCAATACAAAGTGTCTACAGGGGGATCACATGTTAAAACTTATTATAGTCGTATTATAGACACACTCATAAACTGTGCATTTTACAGATATATACAGGCGTTGTGGGAGACTTTATTCCCCAAAGTGTGCTACAAAACACTAAATAGCTGACTATATTTTTCTATTAATTATAATGCGAGTTGTCGCCCAGACGGTATAGTGGTTGGCGGAGCCTACTACGGTACCGAAGTGCACGCGTTCGAATCCCGAAGAAGACATGGATGTTTGTAAATGTATAGTGTCGGTGCAGCGCTCTAAATATGAGGCGAGCCGAAAGTCCTGTCGTGTGGATTGGTGGAAGGGGACAGGGGTGGGAGATGCCCCTGAGGTGCTCTCCCTCATAATCGGGAGTGGAAAATAGAAGTCCGGCTGTGGCAACCATTGTTCTATGTAATATGGCCAAGACAGCAACATAACGCGAGTTTTTCTTCTTTTCTATGGTTTCTTTTAACTGCTCTCGGATTTAAACGCAATTATGAGTTAACTGTGGACGTTATCCCCGTTATTACTTCAATAAATCCCGCCGTTACCCCGAGAACTGACTGTAGTTTTATATTAAATTTAATTATAAATAAAAATGATGCTTCCTGTACATATTTCCTTAACAACCAGCAATTATTTTTTTTCAAATTATATTCTGAATTTGATAAATTCAAAATTATTTCAAAATATATATCGTGCACTAATCGTCAAAATAATAAAGAAAACATAACTACTTCTGGTGACTAACTGCCAAAGTTATCTCCTTTCCTGAATCATTACTGGTTATCGGACAGCAGAAAAATATATCAGCAGATGGCTGAATTAACAGTGCACGGCGAATCGTTGTGACATTACGAACATATGTACTTTATATAACTTGTACTGGACAAAAGAAACTATCTGATGATTTATTCATATCTGATGATTTATTCATATCTAATGAAGTGCTTTTCTTACACTGATCTACACAGTACTTGCGTATGTGAAACTAAATTACTATTTTTTGTAACAGTCCTGTAAAATTAATAGTTTATTTTAAAGCAGCAATTTCGGCATCTCGATTGAAAGTTTTGAGCACCATATGCTGTGCTATCGTATATATATATATTTCTTTTTAGATTTTTTGTGTAAGTAAATGAAAAAATACTGGTTTACTGCGATATTCTATATTCGAATGAAAAGCGTTTTACAGTCGCGTATTCCTAGGACGAAAACAAATAATGCAATATAATGCAATCCTCATGTAATGCAATATAATATAAGAAATCATACACTCACAAGTGATCGTGAGCTTACTTTTTTGGCGTATCCCCAGGTACCACTTCGCGAACTCCACTTTGAAAGCCACTGTTGAAGAGAAAAGTCTCTTTTATTTCCATTTAAATTTAGCCTAAAAAATCCATCTACAATTATAATCAGAAAAAAATTAATCTGAAATTAAAAAAATTCCTGCACATTGTAGAAAGTTAAAAAAAAATGTATTTTACAGGAGTATATTTTCCTGAATACAGAGCAAGCGAAACAAAAATTATTGATTTGTAAAAAAACTATATTGATTAAAAATGAGAAATCTTTGTTAATTTACTCGAAATTAATCTTGCTCTTCAAACATAGTCTTGCTGCTTTTAAAAGGGTATATATCTAATTATGATTCAAATCTAATTTCTAAATCTAATTTCTAATTTAGATCTAAGCTTTTGATATTTCTGAATTCTAACATGTTGCTCCGACAGACATGAAGTTCAAAACCATTTCTGCTATGACCGAGCTTTTCTGCTAAATACAGCCTTGTGCGAAAGGGGCTTAAAATTAAACCTTCGCAAAACTGGTTTAGAGGAGCTTGCGGACCAGATTCATGAATGTGTCTAAAAAGTTCCTTTGTGACACAAAAATTCTTAAAGTTCATGAATAAAAAATTATCTAGAGATATTAATCGGTTAATTGGTTTAAAGAACTTCTTTCGCTTGGAGAACATCAGAAGCATCTTACGGATTATGTTGTATAAAAAAAGAAATAGATTTTCATACATATTTAAACTGTACACGCATACAATTCTTTTTCAGGTAATGAAGTTGCAGAGACAGCTAGAAGAATCGAATGAACGATGTGAATTGCTAGAATTTTGCTTGCTTGAACTGGAAAATCAAGGAAAAGTAAGAATGCAATTTATTACTTCTTTACGCTTGAAACGGACACTGTTATTTCGGATTTCCTTCAAATTATAGAAGTTCCAATGCATATCGGCCCACCAGCGGCCGAGCGGTAAAGTCGCTGAACACTGGTAGTTCGGTCCGAGGTTCGAATCCCGCGAACGGGATGGCTGCATGAGTGTTTTCGTGTTTTTCCTCATGTGTAACGTGTATACGAGCCAGTTCCCCTTAGAAAGTCCTCCACGAAGGCATCCCTCCTCTTAGGCAGATAGCCCTCGAGGCTTTGCCGTAATTAAATAACCTAACCTAACCTAACCAATGCATATCGTTTCAGGTTTTAGATTCATAATATACTTATATCTCTTTCTTTACGCATGTTCGAAACATAGATAGGATTTCCGAATATGTCGCACTATGTACATATAGTTCTAAGTCCCAGGATCACGGCTTTTGTGTGCGAGAATACATTTGAGGGAAGAAAATTCATCTCGCTTGTACCAATTTTACGAGCTCTGTACAGATCGTTGCTATACTTTTAGCCCTTTCCTTCATAGGTAAATAACACAAGAAAAATTTCAGTACTTTGGTATTCAGTACAGAATCACTGAGTGTGCTAAGAGCACTAGAATTGTAATTTCGTCGCGTAATACACATTCATACTGAAGTTCAATATCAACATTATAGGATCCTTTATTGCTGCATACCAGGACCTGTTGATTTAATCGAGAACGAACTAGCGGACATCGTTGCTACATATACCTGTGGAAGTCCACGCTACGCGTCTCCTATTTATGTATCTGGAATGATTGGGAGAAAAAGTCTGGTATTCTCTATAAACTATTAGAAGATTTTCTGGATACAACTCAGTCACTAAGTATGCGCTGATGAAGGAAAGTGAACCGATATATGTTTAAATGCTATTGTTTTCGAGTTTTATGTTTTTATAAATGTGATTTCTCTAAGAATTGTACTTGGTTTAGAGCCTTACATAAATAAATAAATACAAAGAAATTACTTGTAGTTTATTTTATTACATTACCAGACTATTAATACTAAATTATACGACCTTACCAGAAAAAATGCACTGAAGTGGTCCTGAAGAGGAGCTGTCATACCCCTTGATAATCATTATTGTACTTTAAACACATTAAAAAAAAGAAAAAAAGAAAAAGTTCACGAGATCCTATTTGGCAGCTATCACTTGAAGCAATCCTTTTAGATATTTGTCAATAGTTACCATTTTACTACTGTAATAGATATAAAATAACCCTGACAGCCAAGCCTGTTTTTCATTTACACAAACACTATCTTGATGGCTTTTAACATGGCTAGAAACTTGTGCCCATAATTGACAGATCGCCATCACAATTCAGCAACGTCACTGGTGTTATTCTTCTCACTATTTAGTGCAATTATTTGGTTAAGATTATCTCGGTACAAATTCTAATGTCTGAGTGTTAGCACTGTAACAGGATAGAAAAAATCATCTGATAAGGTGAGTGTATCCCGGGATTCACACTCATAACCAAAGGCAAATGCAGGGTAGTCATCTGTTATTATAGATACGGTTCGGTAGGAGTGTGTTTTCCTGCTTTTCTTTACTGCTGTAGAGTAAACACAATCTTTTTTAAATACTATAAATTGTACTTAAGGGTATGAATACTTCTGAGCTTTGAAATGAATTCTTGTGCTTTACAATTTATCTACTACAGGTGGCATGAAATACATTAAAATAGTGATTCTTTTTTTTTTTTTTTTTTTTTTTTTTTTTTTTTTTTTTCAAAGTGCATGTTGCGAACGATCAGGAGACAATTTTTTTGGTGGTACGCGATATATTTTAAAGCTTTCTTCGTTATTGTGGAAATATTTAGATTTAACTGCAATTCTGAAATTATTTATATTACCAATTAATTGTCAATAATTTTGTATGCTTATTTATTATTACTTCACTATTACATTATTCTTTTCAAAGTATCTCCTTGTCCTCAGAGCAACTTTATGTATGTAGTCGCGATATATCGCTATTTATTACATGGATGTGAGTCGCGAGTTTAAAAATTTGAAAAACACTGCGCCATAGCAAAAAGTATCTGATGTAGACACCACATGACTTCCTCGTATAAAATTCTACACATATTTGCTGCACTTCATTTAAACTTCTTACCTCGAATTATTCTAAATTAATTAACCGATTTCTCAAGACAGGTTAAAAAAACATCAAAAACTGCAAATTTTGAATTTAAATATCATGGTCAATTTTTGTCGTGTGGGAGTCAAACTTCTTATAAATTTATTTTTTTTATAACGAGGATAAAACTTTCGCAAACTGAGTTATATGCAAGTCTGTATTTAAAATTATTGGAATCGGGAGACCGCGAACTACCACAAGAATAACGAACTACCATAAGAAACTTAATATGTTTGCTCAAGTATAGTGAGTTTTATGAAGGGTGTTAAGGTAGCTTAAACAGAACAGAAATATTAGACTAAAATTCATCAAAGAAATTTATATTTAAACACATTGAAAAGCTAAAGAAATTCAGTATTCAGTAAGTCAGAGGAAACTAAATGAACATGGAGTAGAAATCATCAAATATTTATTTATTTACTGTTAAAAGGATAAAATAAGTTAAATCTTTAAATTTGGTAGTTTAAAATTTATCTTATCTCAACAGAGAAACTTGTACGTGATGTGTGGAAATGTATTTAATTAAATTTATAAATATTAGAGAATAAATATAAATTTTTAATAAATAGTTAGCCTTTAAAATCCAATATTATTTCATAAACGTAAATAAAATAAAACACACTAGTTTGTATTTCTTGTAAACAAGATGCACATTTTCTCTTATTTAAGGTTTTTCTGTTGCAGTTATGTGACCCATTTGATTAAAACCAACTAAAAGGCATGAGTGATTTCAAGGGATCATAATAATAATTATTTCCTTATCGCCTAACATAAAACTAAAAAAATTAAATTAATTTTATTTTAATTTGAAATAAAATTTAATGAATTAATTGCTTTCCTTATACGGTCTGTTATTCTTTATCCCATATTCTTAATGCTGTGAACTCTAATTTAACAGCAGGTCTAAGCTAATCGGGTAAGATTTCTAAGATCATTAGGAGGCAGTCAGGTGACATAAACTGTTTCTTTCAATCGCGACATTCTCGTAGGTACAAATGAAAATTTCTTCGCTGATGAATCGGGCGCGGTTGGCAGAGCTTCCTTTTCAACAACAACTATATTTACGCAGTATCTTAGAGCCAGCTTAAAAATAGTTCCAGACTTCACTTTGTGTCCCTGCAGTCAGCCTCTTGACACATAACTGCAGGGACTCGGATTTGATTATACCGCTTGCTATGTGTCATTATCTTCATCCAGAAATTCCAGATCTTCCAATTTCGTAAGTAATTTCTGATATTTCTCAGTATACGTTTTTCTTCAATGATCTTAAAGCCTTTTTTTGTTTATCTATTCAGATAAATACCTTTTATTTACAAACATATTAACACATAAACTTAATTAAAATGACAATAAAATGTTTTATTTTTATTTTGTAAGGGATTTAAAAATTTTTGGCATCAGTCTTTGAGGGCAAAACAGACAAGTGATAACTAAGAAAATATAATCCAGGTAAAATTATTAATACAATTTTTGTTTAGAAATATTGTAGGAAGAGTTATTGGTCGATTGGCAGTTGTGGGAAAAATTGTCTACACAGCGATTTTTTAAAAAAAATATTCAGGCCACATTGTTTTTGCATCATAACTAAAACTGTACTGCAGTTATATAACCAAAATTTTACCCTAAAAATAGCGTGACTATATATACTTTAATCAAACCGTTATAAAGCAATAGGTATGTGCCAGATATCATTACGAGAGTGTAAATGAAATCTTTAAAATACATTTAAATGATTGAGAAAATTCTTCGAAATTTTAATTTGGACCATTTATCCATTACCCAAATTGGATAATGAATAAAACTTCGAATAATAATAAATTATAGTACCGAATAATAATATTGATTACCGAATAATTGATAAAACTTTAGTTTTATTCATTACATAATTTCCTTGAAAGTTTTATGTGTGTACTAAGACAAAGCCGTTTTCATTAGTAGTTATATTAGATGCTTTGATATTAGTCTGAATGCATCAGATACAAATGGAAACTACAAGAAAAAATGTTCATTTGTTATTAGTCTATTTTTTAAACTCAAATACTTATGCTTGGCGCTAACGTATGCATTCTCCGTAATATAATTAGTGAGTATGTATAGATAGAATATAATTAGTATAATTAATTTTTCTATATTTTGCCAGTTACCGTAACGTTAAGAACTTTTTTTCCTGTGATCTTAAATGCTAAGTGATTAACAGACTTGAATAAGATTTAAACTCTTGAAAGATTATTTGAGATCACAGAAAACGGAAGATACATGTGTAACGGACGAATTGAGAATATGCCAGTTTCTGAACACAGCCGCTGGATAAAATTTTAATAAGAAGTTATCGATTTATTACATGGTAAATGTGCTCATAGGAAATAGTACTCCAGTGATGCACATTGTGCGTCTAAGAGGTTAAAGCAAAGAATTCGAGGCTGTTTTAGATTTTAAAATTAACACATTTGGAGATCTTTAATACTACTAATGCATTTACATTAATTTGAAACTTAAATGAGCCTGCAACAAACACTCCTTACCGTAATAATTTCCAGGCAGTTCTTTCCGAATAATTTGTCAGATAATTTAGTTATATCATACTCTTAGTACCCACTGAGCCATATTAAGCCTTGTGCAGCTTACTCCAAACATTCCCAGTGCTTTTACTCATTGACATGCTGTACGTAGATTTATATACATTTACTTTCTTTTGTAATATCTAGATAAGTTTCTTTATGTTTTGTGTTTTTCGTTTTATTTCCCATCGATATCTTCTGTCTCTTGTGTCAAATCTCATTATCATAAAGCTTGTTATTTGCTCATATGTCCTTCT